ACCCCCGCCGCTCCACAACTGGCCTAAACCCCAGCTCTTGTATGCATAAAAAATAAAAATAAATCTTTTTTAAAAATCTGGAACGCATTCTTCTATTATAATTTGGTACTTTTATGAGCAGAAAAACTACCAGGGGAAAAACCAAAAGACCCTCGTCTGTGTGATTTCTGGTTGTTAGAAAGTTTGCAAGGAGCACCTGCCATCCAGGGCCCATCTGGTGCCCTGCCCAGGCACACACCTTACCCGGGCCCAGGCCTCACCTGGGGCAAGGCCTCGGGTGGGTAAGCTCAGACCTGTTGGATGAAAGACTTTCACTGAGCCTCAGTTGCCTCAAATGCAAACTGGAAATACCACGACAGTCATCTTGGGGTTACTATGAGAAGTAAAACTGAGAGCGTCTGCCATGTCCACCACTGCCCAGCTCAGAGAGGGCACTGCACTTGCCTATCCACCACCCCTGCAGAAACCTACCCAGAATCCAGTGGGGGAGAAGGGGTGAGGGGGGAGTTGGGCGTGCCAACTTTGGAGCACTGACCAGGCCACCGCTCCGGGGGGCTGCTCCATAACCAGCCCTAGGTGTCAAGCCCGAGCCACATTGCTGATCTGATGCTTCTTCCAGACGGAAGTCAGAGCAGGGACAGGCCACCTCTCCGTCCCAGAGGGAGACCACCCCCACGTACTCTGGTGCCCCCACCAGCCCGCAGAGATTCGGCTCCCACACCTGAGCTGTGTCTGGCAGGCAGGGTGGCAGGTAAACAAGGCACAGAGAGCCTTTTGTTCAAGCCCAAACAGAGATGCTGGGAAAACTTCCCCGGTCCAAGGGGAGGCGGGAGGCTGTCCCTCCAACACTCTCCCATGGAGGGGGAGGGCTGTTCCCAGAGGCCCGAGGAAGACGAAGACGCAGGTCACAGGCCCTGTCCCGGAGGGAGGGCTCTAGGCCTGTGAATCTGTTCCTTGGTCCGTCAACACCCGCCCAACCTCCTCTGGTCCCAGACGGAAGAGGGGGAGGAGAGGGCTCACCTCATCATCTGGCGAAACAGGCCCTCCCAACCCAGAGCAGGGCACTACCCTCTAGGCCCCCACACCCAGCAGGGGTGAGTCAGCGGACTGCCTGGGGGCTGGGGGCGCAGCCTGGCTTGGCACTCCCCCTGCATGGAAGGACACGCCCTCACTTCCTGGGGAAAGGAAATGGGGAGACAGCCTGCAAGAGAGCTCAGCTTTCAGTTGCAAACTATTCTCACATTGGGGCTGAGCCTCCCAAACAGGTTCAGCCTCACCAAAGCGCAAGGGTGTGGCCTGCCTTCCAGGCTACAGGGTCACAGCTGAGGGACAGCAGAGCTGGAGCTCAGCACCTCCCTGCCCCACCTGGCATGGGCTACTCCCTGCCCACGCTGCGCCCAGCACTTCCTGTGCCCAGACTCCCAATCTCCAGGAAAAGCATTGAGGCGGCTCCCCCGGTGTTCATCTGTGAAATGGGCCGAGGAGCTCACTCCTTGTGGCAGGAGCTCACTCCTCACAGCAATCCTGGAAAACTGCGGCCCAGTGACAGCCAAAAGCCCAGCAGACGTGAGGGCAGTGCTGCTATCGTGGAGGTAGGTCCTACCGGTCCCTTTGCAGAGTAAAGCCTGAGGCCCAGAGAGGCTAAGTGAGCTGCCCAAGGCCACGCAGCTAGGAGATGCTAGGAAGTATCACCCGGTCTCACCTTATATGGGGCCTCAAAGGCAAGCAGGTCTCCTGGGCCTACCTGTTCCCCAAACCCCTAGAGCTACTTTCCCAGATGAGATCCCTTTTTCTGAGGGACTCATGGAATCAAAGGTTCTGCAGGCCCTCAGAGGCCGTGCCCAGGCACCTTTGGTCTTTCAGGCACAGCACTCAGGCAACACTGGGAGGGAGCCTGGATCTAGAGTCGGGTGTGGGTCCTGGGTCCAGGGGAACAGAGGAGCAGTGGAGATGGGTCTTGATCTGCTACAAACATGAGTACTGCCCTCCTCGACTGCCTACCCTTCCTGACGAAATGTGGGCAGCAGCACCCAAGGGAGGCACATCTTCTGGTAAGAGCCCAGGGAGCCAGGACTAGAGGGTCTGACTGCAGGTGAGCTGCCTGCTGCTCCCTCCCCGGGCTGGAGGGGGCCACCCCCAGACACACACTGTCCAGGGGAGCCAGCTGGGAGGTGTGACATGCAGGAGGCCCTCACCAAGGACCTCTCCCCGCTCAACACATGTGCTAAAACCCGACATGGAGAGCCTGGCAGCAGCACCTCTGCGGTGCCCTGGCGGCACTGAGAGCCGTGGAATTTTACAGCCACTCGTACTCCGTGGAAGTTTGTTCTAGGCATGAGGCCCTACAGCAGCAGTCTGTTTCATTTTGAGGTTTTAAGTCCTCCAGAGACAGTTAAATACAGAGCTCGCTATGAGACATGAGATTCAGAAGGAATGTGTCGGGAAAGAGGTGCAATGTTTGCAGACAGGAGTGAAAGTCATTCTGGAAACCTCAGCCCCCTGCAGCCGGGAGGTCAGTTGACCCCCACACCCCCAGCACACACTGGGAGGCCACCAAGCTCCTGGGCCCTGCCTCTACTCCCAGGGTGTCAGTTCTGGAAGCCAGGGGGGCTCCTTCCCAAGGTTGAGTCCCCCTGGTCCGGTGTGGTCTGCAGACCACCAGCCTCATGATGGCCACCAGATACCTTCTCCCCACCCCACTGCAACTCTGAAGGTCGGGTGATGGGCTCAGGGGCAACAGCATTATAAACAATTTCCCGGGTGACTCTTAAGTACCCCAAGCCTGATAACCTGAGAAAAAGAAAAATGGAAGGTTGGGTAGAGAGGTCACAGGCCACTGAGCTGGTTCCTGACTTTGCCACCTAAAACTTGTACAACTTTGGGCAAGAGATCTCATCCCTCTGAGCCTTGGTCTCCCACCTGTAAAACAGTGAAGCGCTTCCCATGGAGGCCGTGCTGCAGAGGGTGAGCCGGCCTGGCACGGGGACTCGGCACCGAGGACAACTGTGGATACACAGGCCCTGCTGCTGGGAGGCAGAGGCAAAATTCTGGGGCTCCCCCCAAGAGTCCTAGGAAGAGTCTCCTGCGGGAAGGAAGAGAAGACTCCAGGGAAAGAATGGGAGGAAGAAACACAGGATGGGGCGAGCTGGGCTACCAGGGGCTCTGGCAAGAACCCCTTCCTGTCTAGATCCTGCGAAACCCTGCTCCCCCACTCCACAACAGCCCATGGCCACACCAGAAATTTCTTCTGCTGAAACTCATTCTGAAATGGCCAGGGAAACAACGGTAGACCCAGGTCAATGGGCAGACCCTCTGCCTGCCCCAGACGCCCAGCCTCGAGGCTAAAACCTGAAAGGGGCACTCGCACGGAGCTCCAGTCGGGAGCTGTCTAGGTAAGTCTCATCAGGCCAGGCTCAGGCAAAGCCTGCCCCCCCCACCATGTGGCCCTGCCTCAGGCAGACAGAAGCCAAAACCTGGACGTGAAGCCCATATGGTTCCCTCCAAGCCATTCCTGGCCCAGAGGAGGAATTCTGATCCCAGATAAGAAGGACCTGCTGGGGCTTCCTGCCCGTGGCCAGAGAGAATGCAGCTCAGCCCCCCCACCCCTCAGGGTGCAGTTCCTCAAAACCAACAGGAAACTCCAACTGGACCGGGCTGGGTTTGCTGACCTTGTCCCAACAAACGGGAGTCAACAGAATCCCACAGCGGGCATTTCCCAGCCCCTGCTGCTGTAAACACCAGGCCAACAGCTCAGGGAGGCCACGAGGAGGCTCACCCGCCCAGACTCCACCGAGAGAAACAAGAGCAAGCTGCGAATCAGCGGCTCTAATAACAGCGCTGAGGTTTGTAAAAGTCAGTCAGCGGCAATCTCTCACGTGGGGCAGCGCGCCCTCCCCACTCACCTCTGGAGATGGGGATCGAGGGAGACTGTCACTTTCAATGGATAATAAAAATCAAAACATGATTTAAAACATGTAATAAACCCGCAACTATGCTAGTAAACACAAAAAACAATAAAATTGCCATTTCTTTTAAAGCCCAGGCTGGGAGGCCCCAGCCTTCTTCAGAACAACTGAGGTGGGGGCCTTGGGCAGAGAACAAAGGGCCCCGGCCCAGAGGCAAAGATCTGGGTTCAAGGCCCATGCCCCTTGCCCCCAGTGAACTTGGACAAGACGCTTCCTTGCTCTGAGCCTCAGTTTCCACATCTGTAAATGGGGGACAAAGGTCACTGTTCCCTCAAATGATCAAAAGGAACCACTGATAAGGGGGTGTCTTAAAAATTACAAAGCGGCCTATACACACCTCAGCAATGGCTGGGGAGCAGGTTCTGGGACACAAACTCTAAGTGCCTCCTCCAGATCAACCCCCTTCATGCACAAAACATCCTACAGGGAGGGAGATTCCGGCATGACCTTCTCATCACAGAAGGGAAATTGGGCTCAGAGGGGCCCAGGCCCGCAAAGCCAGGTCTGACCCCGAATCTGGGACCTGACCAGTGCCCTCTCTAGTCTTTGAGAACTGTTTTCCAAAGCAGAGGCCAAGGAACCCAAGTCCCGAAGATGACCCCGTAACGAGATGAGTGTGGGGGACGGGACTTGCTGGCTCCCTCAGACACACACTTCAGTACAACCAAGGCGCTGACAAGTTGCCGCCCATGGCCTCCTCTGAGGCTCATGACCACAGAGGCCGGTGCTCACAGGACACCCCTTGGGAAGGTGATCCCCGCCAGGAAGCATCATGACAACCCGACTGAAGTGATCAGGCTGAGGGAGAAAACCTAGAGGTTCTCAGTGAAACACCATCCTGGTGTGGGGTGAGCACACAGCCACGCACCACGAGCTGGCCACTGAGGGGGGCCACCTTTGTCCCAGGCGCCCCAGCCCCACAGTGAGAAGAGCAAAGGACCATGGTGGAGACGACAACGAGACACCCTTTGCCCCCTGGGCTGGGGAGGCGCCAGACCAGACCCCACGCAGGCCTGGAGGGAGGGTCCGTCTTACCCCGCGGACGGCGCTGCTATCTGCGTGTTGGCTGCCGCTGCTGAGGCTGGCCCGCATCGGTCTGGGCAGGGTCCTGGCATTCCTTTCGCTCCATGGAAGATGCTTCCCTGTGAGGAAGTAAGAGCCACCGTCAGGGACGCGTGTGACCATCCCAACTACCTGCCACGCTGTGGGGGCTACTGAGGGCCTGCTCGGTGCCTAGTCCTGGGCTGGGCCCCAGGTGCAAGGGAGAATCAGCAGGGTCCTGCCTCGCAGAGCTGGGTGTCCTGGGGAGAGGCCACATCCACAACTACAACTGGCCCTTGAGAGCCCGGGAGCACCGGGTGTTGCTAGACCCAAGGAAGGGGACCAGGGAAGGCTCCCTGGGAAAGGTGTTGCCAGAGTTGAGTCTTGAGGAAGAGTAGGAGTTGGAGCAAGAGCATTCCAGGCAGAAGGAACAGCACATGTTTGCCTGGAGGGGAGAGAACATGACATCTGGAGAATGCCGAGCACTTCCGCCCAGCTCCATCCAGGACGGGGAGGTGAGAAGTGATGAGATGAGCCACACTGGGGTGAGCCAGGTTCAGGCAAAGACACAGGACCCAGACACAGGACATAGATCCAGCCACCACGCCACAGTCAAGTCATTCAGTAAGCGCCTACTGCATGCCAGGCACTCCGCTCAGGACTCACTGGAGTCGACAAGTTATCAGGTTGGGGAGAGACATGATCTAATATAAGAAGAGTAGAGGGGAGCACTTCAACCAGCCAGGAGCTGGGGCGGGGGTCCACCCAGGGAAGGTCAACAAATAAACAGGAGAGGGAAGGAAGAGGCAGGAGAGGGTGGGGGGCTGGTGGGAGCACAGGCAGACATGATAAGATGTAGGGGGGTTGGTGAGCCCTCCAAGAGTTTACGCCAGGGAGCATTTATCATGCCCACTCCACGCCAGGCAGTGTGCTGTGAGCCCAGCAGCAGAGGACAACTGCCAGCCTCTCAGGGAGCCAGGTCAATAACCCAGCCATCCCACAAAGGGCGACAGCAGCCAGAGCTGTGATGGCCCAGAGGCCGTGGACTCCAGCCTCTAACCTGCCCACCCTCCCTGACACAGATGGGGATACCCATGGAGGCCCGACAGTCGAGTCACTTACCTGTGGCAGAGCCAGGACCAGAACTTGGCTCCGGACTCTGTCCCTGATTCATCTAATCCTTCCTCTTCCAGGAAACACATGCTGCCCACCCCTGACATAGTCACAGAGCTAAGGCCTCCTTCCTCTGCTGCCTCCGTAATACTTCTATTATTACGCCGGCCACTAGAGCAATGTTTTTCTGTCTGTCTCTCCTCTCAGACTGCAGACTGCAGACTGCAGCTCGAGGAGGCCAGGGACTGAGTTTCCCTCTCAGCATTCCTGACCTAGAACAGGGCTGACTAAAGGAACAGTGGAAGGAAGGAAGGAGGCCACGGATGGAGAGATGTTATGCTGGACTCCAGGGTTCTGTGTCCATCCCACCTGACTCCTCACAAGGTCTTAGCCCATTAGCCTATGCCTCAGTGTCCCCATGACCTGACAAAGGGACCTCCTGACTGTACCCAGTGCATGTAGGGTCTTAGCCCATTAGCCTATGCCTCAGTGTCCCCATGTGAAAACCTGACCTTGGCTGCCCTACAGGATAGGGAGCCAGAAGCCAGGCTGATTCCTTCCTCTGGTCCTATAGACAAAGTGCAAGCCAAGCCAGGAGCAGCTCAAGTCCCAGCCCCCCCTGAGTTCTGACTGACTGGGGACACCCTCAGAGCCCCAAGTGTCCACAAAGTCATTCAAAGTTTGCAGAGAGAACCATTTCCTAGTGGGTGTGGCCAAAGGATGGAGTACAGAGCATCTGTTTAGTTGGGCTGGGGAATGGGCTGTCACAAACATTCCTTGGGGCCCTGGAGGACGAGGAGTATTAAGCCCAATCCCATAGAATCTAGAACTGGGACAACGGGGAGTTAGGTCATCACTCAGGCCCCAGCATCGCTCCAAAAGCCAGTCCTCCAGCACCGCCATCTGTCCTTGCCTCCCTTCGTGAGTCAGAGGAAGACACTTGACCTTCACGAAGGCAATGCCAGGTACTGCCCAGTCCCTCTGAACAAACTCCCACTCCCCCAGGCCCTCCACAGAAGGATCACAACAGCAGACCTCCCTTGGCCTCAAGTCTGCCTGTTCTCCAATCTGTCTGTGCTGAGGGCAAGATACAGTTTGGCAGGGGTTAAAGGTACACCTGGTGGAAAAGTGGGGAGAGGTCCCTGGGGCCTTTCAGCTCCCCCAAGTCCCTCCTCCACAATTTAGGCCCAAATTCCTTTCCCTCATCAAGGACTCTCCCTTCCTGTCCTCACACCTCTTCCCCCGGCTGCTGAGGATGTGGGTAGAGGAAGAGGGGCCACCAAGGACAGCCCCACCCTTCCAGCCAAGTCCTCATCAGGAGGCTGCTGGGACCCCCCTCCCCAACCATCTCCTTCCAAAAAAGGCAGCAGTTGCATCAGCTGAGAACCAGCCCGATCTTGGTTCACTCCAGTCCAGATCAAGGGGAAGAAGCGGTCAGTAAAAGGGGGAGAATCATGCTGGACGCCTAGGACACGTTCCTCCAGCCAGACGCCAAGCGCGCGGGGTCTCCAGCTCACCCACAGCGGGCCGGCCCGGACCTCGGCAGGTCTGGCCCTCAGGCCCATCTGGATGCACGGGCCAGCGGGACTCCGACCCCACACCGGTCTTCCCAGGAACCCCAGCGCAGACAGGGCCAAGAGCCTGGCCAGGGGTCCTGCCCGAGTCGGCGCACGGTTCCCGCCGATCAAGTGGGAGGGCGGGGTGCGAGGGGAGAGGAGGGGCCGGAGCGCAGGAGAGGCAGGCGGGGACAGTCTCAGGCGACCCGCAAAGAGTTGGCAGGAGAGAGCCCCGGAGCGGAACCTCCAGAAGGGGCAGTGTGGGCTTGAGGGGGTGAGGATCTGGGGGAGCCAGGGGGGTGACAAGGGGACCTAGGGGAGCAGGGGCGGAAATCCCGGCATGTAGGGAGGCACTGGGGTGCCCGGGAGGGGGCTCGCGCGCCGCGGCGACGAGGGGAGGGTGGGGCCCCGGAGACCCGGAGGAGCGGGGAGCCGGGATGGGGGCCGCACCGAGTTGCCGCGGGAGGCCCCCAGGGAGCCGGCCCCGGAGGGGAGAGGCCAGCAGCCCCGGACACCGGGGGCCGGGCAGCCGGCCGGGAGCGAGCTGGAGTGGGTTTCGAGAGGTGACAGCTCGCGCCCCCTGTCCCACCTCACCCACTCACCTGGGCCCGCCGCGCCCGGCGGCCCCGCAGGCAGCCCCGGGCCCCAGCCGCTCTGTCCCGCCGCCCGCCGCTGCGCCCCTCCGGCGCCTCCTTTTGTTTGTCCCTCACTGCACCACTCAGCCTCCTCCGCCCCGGAAATGACGTCACCGCCGGCGCGAAAGCGGAGGCCAGGGCGTCGCCATCTTTTTGAGGGGCGCTCTCTACGCACCTTCACGCCCACCTCTCCCCCGCGGGCTGGCGCCATGTTGCTTTGGGGCGGAAGTACCCGAGCCGGGTCTCGGCCCCCTTAAAGGGACAGCGACGGCTGTAACCTTCGGGGTGCGCCGGGGGACGAAGGGTGGCGCGCCGAGGCGGGGGTGAGTAGCGGGTGCCTGAGCGTGGCTGCCTCTAGGTCGGCGGGCCTGGGAATGGTTCCGACTTCGACTGGCCCGAGTCCTCGCTGCTTTGGGTGCTGCTGGTAAAACGGGGGGCCTGCGCGGCAGGGTGGCCCCAGCCCGCGGGAAGAAGGGGCGCGCGCGTAACGCTGACCGGCGCCCGGACGCTGGACCGCAGGCCAGTCCGCCCTGCACCCGCATCCCACCCCCGCGGCCGCGGCGGTGGGGAGCCCGGGCGGGCACCCGCCCTCAGACCCCAGCTCTGCGAGTCCCGCGGCCTCGGGTCGCCGGGCTGAGCGCAGCAGCCGCGCTCGCGGGGACCCGCCCGCGGGAGGCAGCGCGCCCCGACGCGAGAAGCGCCCAGTGTGCACCGGTGGGGGACACGCTCTGGTGTGGCGCGACTTCCAGGCGACCTTAGCTGAGAGAGGGGCGGGGAGGGTTCGCGTCGATCGGCTCTACCCTACCGTGTGCGGAGAGCGCGGTCGGGGCTGCGTCTGGGGGTGCCCGGCCAGCTGGGGGCGCCCCGGACCGCAGACCGGAGACCTGGGGTCCTGGGTGCGGAGCACGGGACAAGAATTGACCACCGAGGCACAGTCTGGTTGCTTCCAAAACTGGGCGAGGAAGGTAACAGCGGCCTCATCCACCTAGGGTTGAGCTGTGTTTGGTTTCAGTTGTCATGCTGGGAGGTCTTACTTTTCCCTGTTCTTCGCGGAGGGAACAGACCCAGCGACTTCAGCAATAGCTTGCTGGGTGAAAAAGCTGGAATTTGATCTCTGAAGGATTTTAACACTCAGTTCCAGCTTGGCCTCCTCCCTACCGGGAAGTTTTTTTTTGTTACCAACATTCAGCACCCAGCTTGGGGCCTGGCACATAGCAGTTATCCAGTAACTGCTTATTGGCTGTTTATTAGCCCAGCGTGTGGACCAGACAGGAGCCTACACTGATGTGTAGAGGGAGCCCAGACCCGAGGCCCATGCTTGCCCTTTCTAGCCTTGAGACCGTGGGGCTGGCAGCCCCTCCTTGGGCTTCCATGGCCCCATTTTTTAACACCCACACCGACAACCACAATAGCAGACACAGTGCTCCCATCTGCCCGCTTTGTGCTTTACAGAGACGAGCCCCTTTTACAGAAGCACAAGTAAAGCACAGAGACCTTGGAAAGGGGTTGCCCCAAAGGGGCTCCCCACTGGCCTGACTTCCTGCACCCATCAGCACTAATGCTCAGGGGGACCTACTGTGTGCTAGTTGCTCTGTGGGAGGCTGAGGATCTGGTGGAAAACAGGGCAGACACACCATTTCTGTCCTCGGAGCCCCGGGAGGGCGACCGACAACATGGCAGGTAGCATCTGTGACAAGTGCTGCGAGGGGACCAAGCTCAGCCTAGGGAGTCCAAGAGGACTCTCAGAGGAGGTGACACTTAATCTGTGACAAAAAGAACAGAGATGTTTGGAAGGAGAAATGATGAGGCTGGAGACTCAGCAGAGACTCATACCCAAGGATAATGGACAGGACGGGATTGCAGGTTAGAAACGGTATATGCAAGAATGGCTTTCCTCCTGGGGAACGTCTGCCTCCCCCCAGGGAATGTCTGTGGCTTTCCTCCCTCAACTCACATTTAGAGCCCCTCCTCTTGAAGGGTGGGACTCCCTGGATTTCTAATCCTGGTGGGGGCGACAAAGGAACAGTCAATAGCAAGAAGTCCTTGGCATCCATACTTCCCTCCCCACCCCCAATGTGGCCAGCGCAGAAACTCTGTCCACGTGAGTATAGGTGTCCGGACAGGACGCGCCTGTCTTCCTGGCTGTCTATACTTGCCACCCAGGTTCTCAGCTTGTCTGTGCTGGGAGGGCCAGCTGGCTGTGACCCGCCCCCCGTTCTGTAGCCAGCAGGTCAAAGTCACTCCAGCTATAATAGGAGTACTCACTGCCACTCTCCCTAACATGTGGGGCCATACCTTACTCTGAGGGTACTGCGGGACCCCTGAAATTTTCCCATATTCTCATCCCACGTCTTCATTCCTGGGCACTGGTTCAAGCTTGGATTCACAGGTGGGGCGCCCTGTGCTTTTCTAGGATTCCGACTTCAGGTAAGTCATTTCCTTGCTCTGAGTGTTTGTCAGGCTATAAAACTGATGGGACTCTCATGTCCTGCCTGGCACGCTGTATGTATAGAACTGCCCCAAAGAGTGACAGTGCAAGTTGGGATCTGGATCCCAAGCCAGGAGGAATAAGGAGTGGGCTACCTACAGTCGGTCTCATTCCTGGGGTCCCCACCTACCTCCCAGGCCCTGGCTTCCTCAGTCTGGGCTCCAGATGTCATCTCTCTCTGTTGCCAATCCAAAGCCAAAGGAACTGGATAAGCCGGGGAGCCTGTTCGTCTCTCCAGGCAGCCGCTCCCTCCCTTGTGAAGCAGCCATTCGCTCTGGAGTTTTCACCAATGCTTGTCTCGTAGACACTCTGCTTTTAGATACAAAATGGAAATCAGGATTCTTTATCTGAAAAGAGACTTTGTTATCTCATTTGGTTAATTCATGTTTACGGAGAGCCTTGTAGATTTCAGTGTCAATAGCTCATTGTCACTGGCAGTTACTGAGGGCCAGGACCTGGGTGAAATGCTTTCTGTGGAAGATGGGGTTATTTATTAATGCCCCCATTCTATAGCTGAGGAAGCTGAGCCTCAGAGACTGTGGAATGGCCCCTACCAAGCTCCTGCAGCTAGTTCAGGTGGAGCTGGGACTGCGTTCTCCAAGTCCAGGTCCAGGCTTTCAGCTCCTGTTTGAGGAACAGACTGATCTGGCCTGGACATCGCCCACCCTCCCTAGGCTGCACCTCCAGACCTGCAGTGATCTGTGTTGTCCCATCCACTGGGGGGGCTCCCAGCAGGTGCTCAACATCCTTCTAGGCCCTAATAAATCTGCCCCATAAAGAGTGACTCACCCTCAAATACCAAGTGTGCCCCTGTTGAGAAATACCAAACTCAGCTGTCCTTATCTCATAGAACTGACAGGTGATGTGGGGCCAGCTTGCAATGCCAGGCTTACCTCGCCTGCCCTGGAGACTGCCATGCTGTTCAGGCGCTAGACAAGGCATGGCTCCCGCCCCTGAGGGGCTGACGGACTCCTGCAGGCAGGGGGCTTGTGGGGGTGACAGCACCCATCTCCCAAGCAAGGACTTTTGGGGGAGAGTTTAGACTTTGGAAACAGGAAAGCAGGGCTTGACCCCAGCTCAAGCTCTCAGCCTGGCAAGCCTGCTGCATTCTCTTGAGCAAGACAGGCACGATGCTGCCTTTCTAAAGGCTGTTGTGAAGATTAGAGGATCCAGCAGAGGGGTCAGCTCAGAGTAAACGCCCTCTGCCTTCAGAGGAGGCAGAGTTGGGGCTAAGCCTTGCCAGGGGTCGTGCTGCGGAGCATGCGAGGCAGCTTGAGCAAAGGTGGGCAAAGCAAAGGATTTGTACCTTCTGAAGAAGAGTCAGCATATCTGTTGCAATGTTGGACTCAGACCAGTTCAAAGGCCGAGCTAAGGTAGCCATGGACTTTCCCCTGTATCCACGCACGATGCTTGGCAAGGCTTGTCCAACAGGAGGAGTAACTGACATCAGCCCTATAGTATTGGTTCCTGAGGCATCTCTTGGGATCAGCCACCGGTTGGTCACAAGTGGTGGTGCCTTCTGGCCAAGGAGATGGCCAGTAACTGCCAGGCTGGTGGAGGCGTGTGCTGGGGGAGGGCCCTGGCCCCTGGCCTGGCAGCAGGGAGGCCTGAGTGGTGAGATGCCTGGGAAGATATGGTGGAAGGTGTCCGAAAGGTCATCTGGTACAGTCCTTTCTCTCTAGGCGGGTGGCCTCCCAGGTGCTGCCCTAGGGCTGAGCTTCTTTAAGGACTTGTGTTTAAGTAATAACAATAATGATGGCATTTGTTGATCCTCTCAGGCACCCATGAAGTGACTTTGTGTGTGTGATCTCATTGACTCTCATTACAACCCGATGTGGCAGGGACTCACTATTCTCATTTCAGAAATGGTGTTCAGGAAGGTTTAATCATTTGCTGGAAGTATATAGAAGAGATCCCAGAGAAGGCCACTATTAATAATGTAGCCATGGGGCCTCCCCAGTGGCGCAGCGGTTGAGCGCTGGGTTGCGAAGCTGCCCGCGGCCTCTGCAGCGCCGGTTCGATCCCCGGCTGCTCCCCGGCCACCGGAGGAGGGTCCCGCATGGCGCGCAGACCTCTCCTGCCGCCCATTGCTCCCCTCAGCAGTGTGCTTCGGTCCTTCTGCCTGCTCTGCTCCGTGCTCTGGCTCTGGTGAATTCTCTCACCCTCCTGCGCTTCTGACTATACCCAGTGCTTGCACAAATAAATAAATAAATCTTAAAAAGAAAAAAATAATGTAGCCATGGAAACATCCTCATGCACAGATACATAATCAAACCATCCTTGCTTTGTGGGTGGATAAGTGTCAGTTACTATGGTTTCATTCAGTATCACCAGTCCCTTAGTTGCCATGTTATATTAACTGAGCATTTGCATGAAGTACTGACTCTGCTGCTTGCTCTTCCACAAATCGCTTTGAAAGTAACAGATGTGGGCCTCCCCGTGGCACAGCAGTTGAGCGCTGGGTTGCGAAGCTGCCCGCAGCCTCTGCAGCGCCGGTTCGATCCCCGGCTGATCCCTGGCTGCTCCCCGGCCACCAGAGGAGGGTCCCACATGGCGCGCAGACCTCTCCTGCCGCCCGCTGCTCCCCTCAGCAGTGTACTTCGGTCCTTCCGCCTGCTCTGCTCCCCACTCTGGCTCTGGTGAATTCTCTCACCCTCCCGTGCTTCTGACTGTACCCAGTGCTTGTATAAATAAATAAATAAATCTTTAAAAAAAAAAAAAAGTAACAGATGTGCAGCAGGGTTGGCAATCCCACTCACCTCCTCTTTCAACTCCTGCCATGTGCCATTCAGCTCAGACACAAGCCACAAAACATGCGGTAGTGTCTCTGTCTCC